ACCCTATTTACTGAATTGGGCAATTCAAAAGATCCTTACAAATACTGTCCCATCCACCCTTGCTCCTCATCACCTGAGTAATGCTGTGAGACCAGGCCTTGCAGCCCGCCAGCCTGCACAAGGGCCAGCCTTTGGCTGCCTTCCCCCAGTTTTGGAAACGTGTCCACTTTCGCAGATGGATCTCGGTGAAGTATGGCTTTCTCTGTGCTTGTTATAATAGGTTGTTGGGACACCTCAGGGGCCAGCACCTCCCTGGGTCCTGGCAGGGGCGAGGGCTCCCTGGGGGCGGCCATGCAGGGCCTGTCCCACCCCCTGCGCTCTTCCACGGAGCCTTTCCCCATGGCCCCAGCAGGACGGGGCTGCCCTCGGCTGTACTGGCTCTGAGCTGGCCCTGAGCCCCTCAGCCAAAGCCCTGGCAGGAGGATGCGCTCGTGGCCCTCAGGGGTAGTAACGGCCGTAGGCCGACCACCCAGCCATGCGGCTTCCCACAGCATCTTGCACCACACACGCACCATCCTGTTTGAAACAGCTAAGATCATGTCTCATTTTAGGTAGTGGGCGTACAATGAACCTCTCAAGTTTTTCCCCTCTATTCCACTACCTCTGCAAATAACATGAACAGTGCTAAACTGTTTTGCAGCTGCTTGATAAATGCCTTCTCCCACTCTCTGCCCAGGCTGGGAGGCTAGCAAGCCATGAATCACTTTCTCTAAGAGTTCAGCAGAGCTTTGCGTGGCGTTAATTTCTCTTTGTATGCATCTATGTATAATGCAAACAAAACTAAATGCCATATATTAAACATTAAATAATGAAAATTATATTAATTACAAAGTTTCTGTAGTTTAAAAACCTCATAATCAAATCCTGATAAAGCTGTAGTAAAGCAGATTTGTAGATGCACTATCTTTTAGGAAGCCAATTAAATTATCAGTGCTTCTCTACATGATCTCTGGTATTTCATTGGAGAAAACTTTAGTGCCTTTGAATTGTTCATTCAGATACCCTGGTAATTACTTAATCATTAAGACAGTATATTATCTTCCCCCAGGCTTTACAAAAGTCACATCTCATACAGTTCATATAATTAGTAACTCACAAAGTCACTTCTCTTAGATAACGGTAGGGAAAATAGGATGCCTTCCAGTGATTTGGAAGTTAGAAAAAAAACCTCTAGTAACAAAGATAAAAATAAACTTTAGAGTTTCTTGAACAGTCGTCACTAGAAACTTTTTCACATGACAGTTTTTCATAGTTTAAATTGGAGTTTACACTAACATATGCATGAGTGAAGAAAATCTTATGAGAAACACTTTGAAAATACTGATTTATCAACCCATACAAAAACAAAACTTTCTGTATCCATAAACACATAGAACAAACTTTTAACTTACTTGTAATATATTTACTTAGGGTACAATTTTCCATAGGAACGATGGCTTTTTTCCTTCTCCAAATACGAAACCACAACTCATTTATAATTAAAAGTTTCTTAGTTTCTGACTTGCCCATCCGGCAATTTGCGCACGAAGTAATTTTGTGTGGCTGAAACCACCAAATGAGAATAAGCAATAGAAATAATAGGAAGCTAGGCAAAATCTGAGGAACTTGGTTACCATTAAGTATGTATTAGGCATGGTGGTGTTGGGTGAATGATTGGACTTGATGATCTTAGAGGTCTTTTCCAACCTATGATTCTATGTAAGTAAGCCTATTGATTATTCCCTTTACAGATTCGTATCCTAATCCTTATTTTAGACAGCGTGTGACTTTAGGACTCTGAAGTTGAGTACAACATCCAGTATTTGTGTATATTTGATATGACAACCTGCAGTCACACATAGTGGTTTACATGCAGTAATCTCATAGTAGAACATTTACAAACCCCGATTTTATAAAATGTTATGCATAAATCAGAAATTACAATGGAATGCATATACCATTGACTCATCTGTGCAATTTTCCTGTAAATTTTGATTGGAATTGCTGTGAGCTACAGTTGGCTTGCAGTGGTCTTACACAGCCTTAAGCTCCACGAAGACACTTAAGGCTGAAGGAATAGAGAGATTCTTCTTCTTTTCTTCAGAGAGAGACATATCTCTGAAATCATAGGAGTTGAGGCATTTCCTGAATGAGCTTTTAAAAACCTAGGTAGTAACTAGTGCTTGCATATTTTCTGTGGAAAAATGGTAAATTTAGCGACTGTTATTGTTAATTGTGCCACTGAAACACAGTATTTGTTAGCAGTGTATAAGCTTAGATATGTACAACAGCTGAAGGGCTGTATTTCAGACTCATGCTGCATATTCATTGATTTTGATGGAGTAACAGTTTCTTTTCTTTCACCTTGAGTGTTGACAATCAGCACGGAGTTACCCAGAGAGGCAAGTTATCCCAAGCTTGTGGTCATTTGGGGGTTTTCAGCTTGTGTTATTTTAGCTTGTTTATGAAGGCCTGTTTTTTATTTGGAAGTATCCCATAATGATGGGTGTGTGATTCTACATTTGGACAGGGAGCAGGTTGTCAATAGCTTTTGTAAACTTAGTCCTAGAAAAGCTTCCCTGACATCTTCCTCTGCCTCAGAACTTGTGGTACATACCTGGCTTAATGGATAAGTGTATTTGGGTTGGCTTCGAAAGCAGTAAAATGCTCCTCTTATTTACCCATTATTTTTTTCCCCATCTTTTCTGGGAGTACATATGTGCTTTCTTTTAAGAGGCATACTGTATCAAACCCATAATTGCTTTAAATACATTACAGAATACTATTTCAGAGTAAAACATTTACTTTTTTAAATTGGAAATGAATCTTCTCCTTGAGTTTTATTTTGGAATAGTGAACTGCTTGAAATTTAAACAACATATTTCTTTTGAAAGAAAACACTACATTTCTTTTGATCCAAAGTCGTTTGTCGTATGGGGGGCAGAAAGGAAGAAGGAATGATTTCAGAACTGACAGACATTAATGTCAGAAGTAATAAGGATTTTAAAGAGTACTCATTTTGCTTTGACTGAAACTGTAAGCTAGAATCGCCAACTCTTTAATCACAAACTTCTTTGTGTTGCACCACATGTATGAAAGGTAGCTATTAGAAGCAAGAATTTACTATTCATCCTTAAATAAGCCAGGGTAGGATTCAGGCATGAGAAAAGAAGAAAGGAGCAGGCAAGAGTAACACCCTGCCTTGATTTTCCCTTATGTCCCCTCTTCCTTCCTTCCAGCAAAGCTAAGAGGAGTCAGTGCCCACAGCCTGTATCTCTGATGCTGCCTTCTTCCCTGCACCAAACCTGCGGTCTTTCCAATCAGTAGAAAATTAACGCTTGCTATAACCACAGTTGTATCAGACCAGTAGCCTCCTTGCAAAGGGAAAACCCCTGCTGTTCCCACCCCTCTTATCTCTAACACCAGAAATACTCTCCCCCCCTCTCCCCCATCAGTGACAGCAGGGCAGGATTCCTCCCTAACGTCTATTCAGCAAAGTCAGAAGAACACACAGGGAGGAGAACTGCTGAAATTGTTGGGTCAAAATTAAGCTTTTGAAATTACATTTTTAAAGTTGGCTCTTGGATTCTGATAGACAATCAACTGTTATCTTTTTCAGTCCCATCTTCTCACTCCTTTTCCTTCAGCTACTGATGAAACTGCTTTTACATCAAGCAAGTCCTTCGAATCAGAAGCAAAACTGATCTGTGTATATGTTGTCTATGGGTTAATACTTTTTAATAATTCTCTTAATATATACCGACAGTGGATCCATAAAATGCGTACTTTTGGGTACTTTTTAAAGAACATCTCATTTTAATATTGTTATTTTGTCTTCTTACAAGAGAAGGAAGTACTGCCTATTTTCACTAGCAATATCAAGAAAATAGTCTTGAATATGTGAAAATGAGAAAACGCCACATGGATCTTCAAAGTTACATTTATAGCAATGGTTTCCATCATACTGCTGGAGGAGTCAGAAGGAATAGGAGTCTGTACAGTCTATATGTTTGAGTTGCTCTTTCATTTGTTTCACTTCTGTTTTCAGATTGGGAAGCCAGAAGACAGTAACTGCAATGCATACTGGCACGGGTAAATGTGGTAGCTGGCAGGGGAAGGAAAGAAGTCTCTGTTTAAACATGTGTGATGAAGTCTGAAGATGTTTTTAAAATAATAGTTCAGGATGCAAACCTGGCAGATTTATGATAAGATTTATTTTAATGAATTGCTTCAGCTTTAAAGGCCAGCGAAAAGGCGTGTAAGGTTTTGCTGTGGTTGAGAACAGCAGGGACTCCTACTCCCAGTAACTGGGGATGCGGTGAACTCTCACCATGTCAACATCCCCTGTCCTCAGGGCAGCTGCTATCCAGGTTGTTTCCTGGCACAATTCATAGCAGCCTCAGGCTTGCGGTACTTTGTGCTAGAGGGTATCAGCATCTCCATCCTGCATCTCTGAAGGTGGCAGTAGCAGCACCTCCCAGCCTCTCATGCCAACGGCTGATGTGGTCCTCCTGTCAGAGGCTTCTCAGGGGACTGTAGGCAAGTCAGACCCACCTATAAATATGCAGGGATGTCATCCTTGTCTCATCAAGGCGTTGTGAGGGTAAACATATTAAGCGTTGCAAATCTCCGTTACTTAAATAAGGAAGCCATATAAATAGCTTTGGGAGATAAGAAGTTATCTCAGTCTTTCTTATTAACAGATAGAACCTACGTAAAACATAGATAATGTGCTTTTCTTTAGTGATATTGATGAAGTTGTCTAGATAACAATTTCAAGCAGCGATGAGGACTGTCTGTAAATTTGGAAGCTGTCTCTCTTAATTATTTCCCATTATATAGCAAGAACAGATTGTATTTTTTTTTAAGTCCGTATACCACAAAAAAAGCTGTAAAGAACTGTATGATCAAAATAGCATATATATTTAGGTTGGAAAGGAAAGAAGGTACATAACTGGAACAGATTTTGCTTATGACAAAAACTTGCTTCTATTAATGAAACTTATTTTCTTGTTTTGCAGCTTGCAGGCCTGGATTCTATAAGGCATTTGCTGGAAATGTAAAGTGCTCCAAGTGCCCACCACACAGCTTGACTTATGTAGAAGCAACTTCTGTCTGTCAATGTGAGAAAGGTTACTTCAGAGCTGAGAAGGACCCACCAACTATGGCATGTACCCGTAAGTCTGATCAGTACCAATGTCTGTATTTCTCTTCTCCTGTGCCTCATTTATTTATTTTTGTATTTTATAAAAATGACATAGGTTTGTACATTTTGTGAAGAATTCCATTCAAGATAATCACAAGAGATTTTTAAAATAAAAGTTCAAACGACATATTTCTATATAATGTAGATATCCTTAAAAATGCTGACATGTTTCTTAGCTTGGTGACTTTTTAACTTGTAGTTCTGACAGGTAATACAAGGTATGTGAACACTGTCATATAGATAACAATCTTGAGTTTTAACTACCAGTATGTATTTTAAATACATGAAAATGTCCTTGTACAAAGACTTTCAAAAAAGTGAGGAGTCACATAAGAAAAAAACTGTTCTGACATACTCTGCTGTGTCCCCAAATTTAAATTAAAATTATAACACAAATGTCATCCCAACACAATCAAATAAAAACTAAACTCTTTAAAAAAGACAAGAAAAATATAAAAAAGAAGTATCCAATTAGGAGATATAATTAAGCCCTCTTGCATGTTGTCTATTTTCAAAAGTGAGTTATTCCCTCTTATACAACTCTGATAATGAAAATTCTTTAGATTTTTTGATGATTTAAAAAATACAACATTTTGTGATTTTTGACTAACCTAAATTTGTCGTTAAGACAATACTGATGCCCAGTAACCTAGGGGCAGAAGTTCTGACTGAGAAGAAATTTTTATTACTTTGATCAATGTGCTGATGTCTAGAAACATAAAGCATAAATTTTATTTTCACTTAGTAAAATATTTCTCATAGATTTTCATACATGGTTCATTACTCAATGGAATTCATTTATGCATCATAAAGCAACTATATCTGTTTAATCTCAAGATTGGGAACAAACAGCAGCATTTAAAAATCTGTGGGGAAATTATATATTTACATATAAAATCCTGTCATTTTTTAAAGATTATTAAAATCTGTTTGCAAATTTTTTTAAAACATTTAGCTTTCTGTGTTGCATTTTTTTAGCTCTTTTGGTGGAGGATTTGATTCAAGTACATTTTGTGCCACCATCCTCTTGTTAAGAGAATTGTAGAAAAATTAACATGTTAAATGCATGAAGTATTTTAATGGACTAAGTATACGAAAAGCTTAAGAATTAAAACCATAAAACCAAAGTACTGCTGCAATAACCATCAGCGTATGGTCATAATTTTGGTATGCTTACACTGCATAAGGCAGCACTATGTAAAAACAACTGAGCTGTCTCTACCAGAATTCAGCTACTTCCTGTGCTCATGCTGGTCTCCAGATGGAACTCTACTGGGCAAACTGGGAATACACCAGGTAATTTGGAGCTGATTTACAAAGTCATAGGCACTCTGTAATCCTGAGGTCATTACGTAGACCAAGACATTGTCCATCCGCTAAATGGGAGTGATGGTCACCAAAGATGACATTCCTCAGATCCAAGACACTTAGCAGAAGGTTGTCTAATGTAGCCATAGGGTTTTCAGAGGGGAAGGGTAAGTCCCAGCTTCCAGCTGCTTAAGGGACATGGGATTCAAAGAGGTACCCCAATCCAACACACACAATCTGCTGTCAGCTCACTCTGGAGGAAGTCACATAGGCCTATCTATTTGCTTCCAGACTTGCCATAGGAAAATGGTGATTACAAATAATTCCACTCAAATGAGTGCCCCAAGCACAGGCCATTAAAACATACCCACAGAACTAAAGCACATCCCAGGCGCTCTTGGCAGTTTCATGCTTACAAAGATGGTTTCACTCATGTATTATGCAGATGTGGTTCCATATTATTTGTATGTTATTGATTTTTCATCTCCGAAAGACAGTTCTTCTCTGAAAAAAGACAGTTCTTCTCTGAAAGAATTACTCATACGTGGCATTATGTTTCCATAATTATCTTTCAGGGTACAATTTTAAGCCCTGCTACCCATTAGTATTGATAAGGTAGGGAGGAGCATGAGAACCATGTGGCACCAGGGAGCAGGTACCTACAATAGCACAGTGCTTTCCCAACAAATATGGGGTGATGAGAGCTGCTTTGGCCAAAAACTGTCGGAAAGGAAGAGGACACAGGGAAGAAACCAACCACAACATAGGTACCCCGACTTGGGAGAAATAAGAAATAAGGGAGACAGTGAACAACATTTTGGTTTCTGCCTTGCTCTTGATTCAGTGCCACCATGCATTGCCTCTCATTCAGCCTAGACTGCAAGGTATCAGTACTTCAATGACTGTAACAGCAGACGTATTCATCTTATACCTACGATGTTGATTATTTCACTAATTGTCAGCTCTGCAAATGATGCTGAGACTTTTGACAGGCAGACTGCGTTCTTATCTTCTTGCACATCATCAGTAATGAAGAGTCTGGAGGCCAAATTATTCCCCAAGTGATATCTTTAGCCCCACTGCTTTCAAATTATGCTCTCAGTTATTAAAATTATGTTTCTGTCATAAATACAACCTCACTGCCTTCGGTGGGTCTGTGCAGATGTGGCTAATTTAAATTTAATAAACAAAGAAATAAATATGAGACAGAGTAGAATTTAGATTCTTCCTTCCCAACTGTCATGCTTTACTGTAATAAAAGCAATTGAAAGGTTATGAAAAAAAAAAAAAAGAGTCAGTTTGACTAAATAGGGAGAAAAGGCTGTACAGTAAGAAAATGCGTTTTCTACATAACCACTTTTGGGGCAGATCTGCATTTTTGATCTTCATTTGCAAATTTGTATCCTCACATGTGTGAAGTGACAGAAGAGATTAGATATTTTTCTTGTGACTTTTTCAATGAGAGTTGTTCTTGAATCAAACACAGAATGAATGAATAGTAGATTCACCTTACGGATTTCTTCATATTAAAACATTTTGAACCAACTGTATTGATACTATTTTATTTGCTTCCCCAAGTCCTGCAAAGCAATATGCCTAAGATAGATTGCTATTTTATTCTCTCTCTCTTTTCGTTCCTTTATAGGGTTAGACACTATTCGTCACTCAAGAATTTTTAATCAGTACTGGAAAACTTGCATATGCGGCATTATGCAAAAATAAGGACCTTGATTTAAGAGCCTATGAATTTAAGAGTTTAGCTTCAGGCATCCACTTTTTTCAAGATGCACTTCAAATCTAATTTCATTAATTCTGTGAAAGTGCACACTGTATGCTTTTCTAAAATTGTACAGTTCCCATTTTTGCTTCATGTATTTTGTAAGAGAAGAGTGTGCACTTTGCAGAAAAGCATAATAGAATTCTGATTTTAATAAGAGGAATAAAAATTACATGACGATATATTGTTAATCTCTTTCTCCTAGCCTTTTTCCATTTGATTGGCACTTGTTATCAATCTGTTGCTGCTACTCTTTCTCCTTATTGTATTTCTTTGCCATATGGGAGTACTCCATCAGTGATCTCTGCATACACAGTGAGCAACAAATAGCATCATATCTAATCCCCTGTCTGATTACTCTGTGCATAAACTCTAAAGTTTCCCACTATAATGTAATTGGATAAATTGATCCATCTTTTCAAGGTCAAAGGCAGGCAGGCTTATATTGGGTGTCTGAGTCTGAATGCATCTCATTTCACGTTATGCTTAAACAATTTTGAACCCGACAAACTTATGATCTGTTCAATAACCTCTGCCACAAACTGTATCCTCGATTTTTAAGAGTCAACACTGTGTGCCAGCAGCAAAATCAAGCAACAGGCTTGAAGCCTTCAACTCTACTGCCTCTCTTGTTATTTTTATATATACTTGTTTGCAATTTATCATTACGCTCGGACTTCGAATATTGGTTTGCAGTCACTGGCTTCCATTCTTGCTGCTTGTCTCACAGAAAAAGAGTAAGTGATTCTGAAAGGAAAAAATGTAATATAGCATTCTACATCAAGTGACACTACTTATCTATGCTACATGTATGTATGTATACAAAAAAGCAATTATGAATTCAAGTGTTACAGCCAAATGCTGATTCTGAGTATTCTCAGAAGATGATGGTTAATTTTTCCCCTTCCACTGTAAATTCAGTAGTCAAATAACACACATTTTTAAGAGTCCAACAGCTGGTAACAGACAGTTCTCACTTAAACAGCTACAAAGTGTTTTCCAGACAGTCATCACACTGTAGTGTTTAAAATACTTCATTGCCCTCACTAGACTTCTGCAGTGTTAGATTTGTTCCTCTTTCCTTCCATAAAGAGCAAAATGCACTTCACCTTCACAGAGGGAGAGGAGACACAAAGCAAGATGAGGTGCGGAGCACTGCATGAGGCATAAACTCATCTCTGTTTCTCTCGGAGTGGGCCTGCTTCTCCGTAAGACATCAACACCTCTACTCCACAGAGAGCGTAGAAAGACATTGCTCACACTTGGGCTGTGTCTTATCTAAGAAGCAGAAGAGCTACATTTTTTTTAATGCTTACCCGTCTGAGTGGTGTTTTACTCTTTTTGCATAAAATCCAGAGTCATGAATTTTGCTGTGAGGAAAGGAGCCGTCATTTTCACCAATATACCTTTTTTTTCCTTAAAAATCATTATAAGGAAATCCCTGAGCACTTTGCACGCAGATGTCTGCAGAAGGGTTATTGCTGCCAAGTTTTTCCAATGTGTCAAATAATCTTTGTATAATTTATAAATGATAACAAAGCAATCAGGCCACATTCATAAAAGCCCAGTGACACATAATTTAGCTGAATCTGAGGATTAGAATTAATTGTCTCTCTTTGTTCCAAGTTCTAAATCTTAGTAAATGATTCACTGCATGTCATTACAGCTTAATATTTGCATGAAATCACAGTTTAACTGGCATAATTTAACAGCAATTAAAAAGCTATTTAATCGTCATGAAAATTGGCATGAGGGGCCTTGAGTATGAAGGGTGTCTGAGGTTTTTTTTGCAGGCGGACAGTTATGTACTTTCAGACATCCCTAACATAATTGATAATGTTCTCCCTATTCATTGAAATGTGAACGTACAATAATTCATGTTTTCTCTTACAATTGAGGATTAAGTCCCAAATCATGAATATAACAACCTTCACTCTCTAGTAAAAATAAAAAAATACATTTTTAAAAAAGTGTATTTTACCTACTGTATTGGTTGTTCTACTGATGCCATCTACATATAGTACAAAAAAGTCTGACAGACAATTAAAATTGACAAAGCCAGACAAAACTGTCCTTTTTGCCTGGATTCTCATTAATTCCTGTTTTGGCCTGCCAAAGTTGATGAAGTAACATAAAAAAACCCTGAGCTATGATGACCCATTGTTGTAATATCTATAGTTTGTGTAAGATTAAATTTAAGCCAGTTTTAAAACATTGGCTCCAATCCTTTCAGCAATTACACACATGCTTAGTTTAAAGTGCGGGAGTATTACCAATTATTTCAAGGGGATTACTGATCCGCTTAAAGTTATGCACATATGTAAGTGTGATTAAGGCTCATCCTCCATATTCCTAAAACTCCTCATTGGTTTTAACAATGGGAATTAGTTAAGGTCAGTCATTATTTAATTCTCAAAGCATGTTTTTAGAGGAAACATAATTATTCCTATCCTCTGCACATAAACAATAAGAACTGAAGCTGAAGTAATCTGTGCTAGTTTTAGCTTATTCCAGTCTTGGGACAGTTTTGAGTAGCTGGCTTCATCAACCTCACAGTAATTTTATGGGAAGTTTAGAGACTTGTAAATCTGAGACATGCTGAGGTTGTAGGGGCTTTTGGACTGCATCAACTTTTTCAAGGCTGTGCCTTGTCTCTCTTTTCCACACCATTGTAAAATAATGTATAAATATAATTAGCCTTTGTTAACAAGTTGCATTTATAAATTGCTACATATTACAGTATTTCAGTGTTAGAGTCATCATAAGGTCACAGTCAAAGACCAGGAAGGAAATACTCAAAATATTCTCTGTGACCATAAAAATTACAAATTCCAAAAATAATTTTCATCTGACAGGTTCCAGAAATATTAATCTTCAATGCAAATGAGTCACATACTGTTCAGCTAAATGATTCCTTGATACGCTGAAAAATAACTGATCTTTAGTGTCCAGGGTTTTTTGTCTGCTAACTATGAACTCTGCACGGATAGATATAAATACTCACACATTCCAAATATTTTAAACTTTCTTGTCCACTACAAAAATGCAAAGTGATGTAACACCTCCAAATATTGTAATTATCATATGCTTGAAATCCAGCAGCTAACTCATTTACTTTAGGGCAGAAATCATTTTAATGAAAACATAGTCTCAGATATTTAAAGTTAAAAATTAATGCTGGAAAGAAAAAAGCAACTCAAGTGTTCAACTATAGTTCGCAGAAAACCTTAACGTTTAGTAATTCACATTATCCCTCCTACATCGTACAAACTTTTTTTCCCTTGACAAGCATTCCAGCTTTTATACCCACGTTTATGCCACATAAGTAAACAAATAGCATCACTTTAAAATGACAAATGTTGGTGAGTAGTGACTTTTTTCCCACAACTCTTTCCTTCATTAAAGTCAGTATTCATTCTTGCTGCTATGTGTAGGTACAGCTGTATAGCACTTTACTACTATGTAGTTTATTAGTAAAATACAAGATATAGTAATGTTTTCTGTTAAAGTGTAGTCCATTTTAGTATTCAGGGTCATCTTCAAAAATGAAGAACTTGAACAAATGGAATTATTTCAGTTGTAGGTGCATATTTCAGAACCACTCAGGGGCTTGATTTTGTAAATCACTACATTGTGTTCAGTCAAATAAATAGCTAAAAGTTTGAAGATTGAATCAGCATATCAATGCTGTAGTAATTGCAGATCTTAAGAAAAAAGAAACAATGGAATTGAATGATTGGAAAAAGATAGGGTTTGTTTGGGGTTTTTTTTACTGAGATTTGAGATCCTGATTTATCTATGAAATGTTAAGAGGAGCTTTGATATTTTATTTTCCTTATCAATGCAAAGTTCTGACCGCTTATCTAACCATCCTTTGGACACAAGGTCTTGCCCCATGCTACAAGTTCTTGAACTGGAATTGACAAGAGTGTTGATCTTTGGGTTTGTTTGTTTGTTTAGTTCTTCCATCATTGTCTTCAAGTTTTTATAAAGGACATTATTATATTTTCATTATCTGACTCTCTCAGATTTCGTGTGTCACTCAATTTGTTGGGTGAAATACACTCTGTGTAAGAATTAGCGGATGTTATTTGCAAATGTTTCATATAGTCTTCCAGTCTGCTTGAGAGGCCCTGAATGAAAAGCTCACTTGAAGTTTGAACAGTATCTCAATCAAAACTTTATGCGTAAGTCTTGCTGGCAAGTTGTATAAATCATGAAAAGCTGCAAAGCAAGCTGAAAGTTTTAAAATTCTGCTAACCACTGGCTAAAGAATCCATGTGCACTGTCATTTTTTTTGAGAGGTGGGAATACAATGCTTATTGGACTCATTCAGCTCAAAAAAACCCGGAAATCCCCAGCTGAGTTTACCACAGTCATCTTATATATACCTCAAAACTTGGAGTATAAAGCCTTGCATTTTGCCAAATCTGTGTTTCTTACATAATTTTTGTGGGCATATTTTGGATCTATATACAAATAGTGTTTGAATACCATGTGTATGTAAGTGCTCATTAAAATATGTTAAGTGGAAGAAGAATATAGTAAGAAATGGAGGTAAGATTATTCAGACTTCCTTTAACAATTCCTGCCTTTCCCTCACCTCTTCACTAATTCCTGTCTGAAAAATCATTAGGTGATAAAGTTCTTCCATCAGACTGTGGAAGCTGATATATAAAGCCTCAGGTGATTTACATGTGCTCCTTGCACAGTAAGTCAGCACAACAGCTTCCACCTTGTTGGATGTACCGTGACTATTGTGGGATCCATGGGAAATGCGTTACTCATAGTTTGTCTGACAGTACACAGAGAGCTTTACCATCTGCTGGCTAGCTGAGAGCTTGCCTATACTCTGCCTGCTGCTACTGTCTTAGCCTCACGCCCACCAGTCTTCAGGAATTATTTTTTCTCCTGCTTTGCTGCCGTCCTTTTAGATTTTTAGCTTGCAAGGTTGATGTCTTCACTGTTATACTGATGCTGATGAGGTGCCAGGTGGGAAAGAAAAAAACTTGTAAGATATCTCTCATGCCTAATAGTCTTGGCCTGTTGCCACCTCGCTCTATTAATGAACAGCAGTGAAGAAATCCCTGGGGATAAGCAGTGAAGGCTAGAAAAACTATCTGGCCCTGCAGAAGGAATACAAATAATTTTACTTCTTGTAGTTATTCCAAAGCTGTTATTTATTTATTATTCAGTTTAACTCTTATAAAACATCAGAGATTGTAAGTATCAGAAAAGCCTATATTGCGAGACATAAAATAAGGAAATAAGTTTTGTAGTTGAAGCTCTACCCCAGTAACCCACAAGATCAAGAGATATTTAGTGCAAATTTGTGTTATTAAGTCTAGGTTTGACATTCCCAAGTCATTTTTATGTTGCCTTAAATTATTGCTGTATTAATTCTAATTTATTTAGATATTCAGCATTTTATGATCTTACCTATTTATTATTCCTGCTTAATTTTCAAAGGTTGTAAGTATTTAAATAATTTTTAATTTTTCCATTAAATTTGTTATTGAAACGTAGCTCTTTTAGCTTCTGTTTGCAAATAATTGCCTTGAGACTAATGTCTTTGTTCATGGGTTGTTTGGTTTTTTTTCCCAAAATAGACAAGTGTTGCTTAACTGGCTTTCCCTTCCTTTTCTGCAGGGCCACCTTCTGCTCCAAGGAATGTGATTTTCAACATTAATGAAACAGCTCTCATGTTGGAATGGAGCCCCCCAAGTGATACCGGAGGAAGAAAAGATCTCACTTACAGTGTCATCTGTAAGAAATGTGGGTCGGATGCCAGCCAGTGTGAAATTTGTGGGGGAGGTATCCGTTTCATCCCCAGGCACACAGGTCTCATCAACTCCTCTGTGACAGTGATGGACTTTGTGTCGCACGTGAACTACACCTTCGAAATAGAAGCCACAAATGGAGTCTCGGAGCTGAGTTTCTCTCCCAAGCAGTTCACAGCTATCACAGTTACCACAGATCAAGATGGTAAGTCCCAGCAGTGCATGTCTGTTACTGTGCCCCTGTCATCCGTGCAATTATTAGAGGGATCGTTTGGTTTCTTGAAGTTTGGGTCAGTGAGTTAGGATGTTTTGCAGATTGTTACATGTTTTTAAGTGCTTTTGGTGAGGACTTCCAGCTTCTACTGATGAGGGTGTTAAATGTTTTCGGCAGTTGGTACTTGACCCCAATACTCAGGGCACAAAAACGTACCTTCCTGTTTAAAATTAAGTGCAAGCTGTAACTGCCTAAGACTAACTGTATCAGTGGTTCATGAGAACTGGAGTCTGCGTCTGGTGCTTTGCCAAGTCATTCCTTACAATTTCCATTTTGAAAGAGTGAAACACCACAGGTTATCTATTGCAATTTCACAATTCAAAGGCAAAATGAAAGTGAACTCACTTCCTTTAGTATCCATGTTTCATAGTGTTAATGCAGCATGCTTCGCTAAGATACTTCAATGTCTGTATGAGCCATTTCCTTAGGTGAGGTGTCCTAATAGATTTTTTTGTTCCTTTAATTGTCCATTTTGCATTACTGGTTTTGAGCTTTTTCTTCCTCCCATTTCAGTTCAAATTCATGTCCAAGGCCGACCTTTATGAGAAATATGGGAAACTGTAAGAACTCTATTTTTTTGTTTATTTCTGCAGCTGTTTTCCTTCTATCTTTAGAAATACTTACTATGCCAGGAAACAGCATCATAGGTTACCAACAAAGCAACCTATATAGCAGTGTTATCTTCTCGCTTGTGAGAAGGTTATTTCAAAATTATCCCTTGCTGACATTTGTTCCAGAAATGTTTTTCACCTACTGTGCAGTGACATTGCAACTGTAGCTGAAGTATTTAATGCAGAACAGGAACCGTACTGGCAAAACTACGGTTTTGAGTAGAAGACCTTTGATAATATGAAAGTGTTTGGTAGAAGTGCTAATGTTCAGGAGGATCCTGTTATGTTCCACTTGTAGGAAGGCCCAGGGTTCTTTCACTGATCAGTCTCGCAAAAATCTGCTTACCTGTGTATCTGGGACAAGCAGTTTTGTTGATGAGTGAATAATTACTTGTTTGCCTTTGGGCATACAAAAATTAACAGCTTGCTGTGATGATGATGATGATGATAATGACAATGATGGTAATACTAATAATATTCATGAAAATGGATGAGAAAAAGCAAGAAAACTACTCACTCATGGTTCATGTGATGATGGTATCAGAAAAGCTAATTATATAAGATGCCTAATAATATATGCCTTGCCCTGAGAATTGCCTTAAGCTCTTAGGCTATGTATCATGTTGCAAATCTGTATCTCTCTTTTCCTTTCTCATTAAATTAAAAAAAATGTTTTGCCAGAAACTACCTCTATGTATACTTAATTTTAGATGTTTTGTTACATGGTACTAAATGCAAGTCAACAAGCATGCACAGGTGGAGGTCACCAGAGATACGGTTTGTTTTTAAACTGGCTAACAGTGAACACAGCTTGTGATGTCTATTTAAGTGGCGGGATTTTAAAAAATAATATGTCTTTTGCTGTTGTCTGTTCCTGGTTTAAGGATATAGATTTTCACTGCAGTTTACTCAAAACAGGGAAAAGACCAATGTTTTGATAATTTGTGATGCACTGACAGTAAACTCTAGAGCACAGGCTGCTTGCATTCCCTATAATAATTCTTACATTACTAAAAATGCTGTTGGAAGAGCTTGAGAATTTAAGACGAGATTTCCAGAGTAGCTGTCAGTTTATTTGGATATATAAAGACAGCTTTGCAGAAGAAAACATTGTAATAAATGAAATGGGGGCATCTATAAAATGCAGTTATAAAGATAAAACCATTTTTATAGGCTTACAAAGGGTGTAGTTGTATAAAATCATAAGCACAGTAAATATATATTTAAGAGTAAAAGAGAGAAAGATAATGTCATATGAAATATGGAAGAAAATTAATGGAGCTTTGGTTGATGGAACTTATTAAGACGACAATAAACATTTTTGTGGGTTACTTTTAGTCAGAAATAAGAAGTGATACATAGAAAGCTAGGGCATCTACCCTCAGAAAACAAAACTGTAGAACTAAAGCTTCAGAACATTGCAGAGGCTTTGTTAGTGTTTATAAATCACACTGAAGTTCTCACATAAAAGAATTAGTGACCTTTTCATTTTTATTGTTAGCCAGCTATTAGTAAGAAATTTATAGTTTTGCTTCTGCCTTATTTACCAAAAATACTAAATAATCACCTTTATATTGCCTTTTTTTCTAGCTGTACCTCTAAACAGTAAACTCACTGTTGCAGTCTTTCCTTATAATCTTAATCACACTGAAATGGACAGTACTTATTGCATGGTGTTGCAGTTTTGTGCACATGTTCACATAAAACAAAGATCCAAGATTATATGCGTGACGTGACAACAAATCACAAATAACTTAATGTGTGCAAGGACTGCATTACCAGAAGCCCAAACATACTGATTTCAAACATTTTTTCTCTTTTGATATTGTCATGGTTTAACCCCAGCTGGCAACTAAGCACCACACACCGCTCACTCACTCCCCCCCAGTGGGATGGGGGACAGAATCAGAAAAGTGAGAAAACTTGTGGATTGAGATAAAGACAGTTTAACGGCTAAAGCAAAAGCTGTGCACGGAAGCAAAGCAAAACAAGGAATTCATTCACCACTTCCCATCGGCAGGCAGGTATTTGCCCATCCCCAGGACAGCAGGGCTCCATCACACGTAACCGTTACTTGGGAAGACAAAGGCCGTCCCTCCAAATGTCCCCCCCTTCCTTCTTCTTCCCCCTGCTTTATATGCTGAGCACGAAGTCATATGGCCCAGAATAACCCTTTGGTCAATTGGGATCAGCTGTCCCAGCTATGTCCCCCACAAACTTCTTGTGTACCCCCAGCCTGCTTGCTGGTGTGGTGGGGTGAAAAGCAGGAAAGACCTTGACTGCTGAACAACAACTAAAACATCAGTGTGTTATCAACGTTCTTCTCATACTAAATCCAAAACACAGCACTATACCAGCTACTGGGAAGAAAATAAACTCTATCCCAGCTGAAACCAGGACAGTTGTGTGTCTGATACGAAATATTTAGATCTATAATAAATTATACCTACACAACATATTTATCCCATATTCATACTACCTTTTTATATGTAATCTTTTCATACTGTTTGACTATTTTTGGTGTACACATTGCATGAAGTGATAGACCTCTTTGTAAATATATAAATTGTTTCCTTCAGTTGTCGTGTCTTTGTTAAGAATATAGAACAATATCTTCAGCTGTTGTAAATCTAGACCATTCTGTTAGCTGCAATAATTTACAGTAGCTGAGGAGCTAGCATTTTATTTTCTTTGAGCATATAGGATTTACTTCCCTCTAGTGGCCCTTTCTTTTTGATTGTTTATGTGAAATTAACAGATTCTTCTTTAAACATGCAAAATTATTAGCTTGTTCTTCAGGGGTTTTTCTCTCTTTTTGGAGAAGATATTGCTGTTGGCATTTTGCTGAATAAAGTAATGCAGTGAAGAGTACCATGGGCATCCATAGAAACTGAAGAATTGTATTCTGCGACAATGAGTAGAGTAGTCTGAGAGCATCAAAGAGGGAGAATATTTGCTGACAGGAGAAGTGAACTAATTCAAAAGTGATTAAGGCTCATCTTTATGCGCAGAGCTCTACCACAGCTAATATTAAAAACTTAGCTGGCTCCTCATGCAGTCACCAGCATCAACAAGCTTAACTGCGCTGCTCAGCTCTGACAATGACAAGAAGACTAAAGGAAAATAGTACTTTGAAAAGGCTTTGCAAACTGCATCCCGCAAACCTCTCTGAGATTTGATGATTAAAGCACTACCAGGCCTGATCCAATACTGAAAAAAAATTACTAGCATTAATACAAGTCATATGGAAATAATTTGGTAGCATTCATGACTTTTTTAGTTATTAATTTTGTACAAATATTCATTAATTCAATATCCATGTTTTTGATTTGCCCCCCACCGGGCTTCATAAGGAAACAAAGTTTCTGTGGGCACATTGTCAGGCACCATAAAGAACTGTGAACCCATTAGCCAATGTGAGTTCAATAACAGAGAGAAAGGATTCACAGATACTATGGTCTGTCAACAGAAGTGTGAAAAATGACCACTTACAGTCGCCAAGCTGTTGGCTGGGTCTGCAAATGGAAAAGCAAGGTTCAGCTACGTAAGGGTTGCTTACTGGACTAGAGATGTCAGCTGACCGAAGACTTAACCTGTCTGTTGGCTAGTAAGTAAAGAAAGGATACATATAGTTCCTGTGTGGCAACAGCATGTGCTGTGTCTTGCCCAGCAAGTGTGAGAAACAAGGATGGGGTAGGGATGTGTTAGGAAGTGTAGATGTTGCAGATGGAGATATGAGGGAAGTGAGCAGTTTAGCGTGCAGGGATGCGATGAGGAAGGCCAAGGCCCACCTGGAATTGAAGCTGGCAAGGGATGTCAAAAACAACAAGAAGGGCTTCTTCAACTGCATCAGCAGCAAAAGGAAGGCTAGGGACAATGTGGGGCCGCTGCTGAATGAGGCGGGTGTCCTGGTGACGGAGGATGCGGAGAAGGCAGAGCTACTGAATGCCTTCTTTGCTTCAGTCTTCAGTGCTAAGACTGGCCCTCAGGAATCCCAGGCCCCGGAGGTAAGAGAAGAAGCCTACAGAGAGGATGACTTTCCCTTGGTCGAGGAGGACTGTGTGAGGGATCGCTTAAGCGATCTGGATGTCCACAAATCCATGGGCCCCGATGGAATGCACCCACGAGTGCTGACAGAGCTGGTGGATGTCATGGATTCACCAAGGGGAAATCATGCCTGACCAATCTAATAGCTTTCTACGATGACATGACTGGCTGTGTAGACGAAGGGAGAGCCGTGGATGTTGTCTACCTGGACTTCAGCAAGGCTTTCGACACAGTCTCCCATGATATCCTCCTAGGGAAGCTGAGGAAGTGTGG